ATGTATGCCCCAAGCCGCTAAGAATACGGAAGTCCGCTTCTAACCCTGCTGTAAATTTTCATTAGGTTCGTCTCAGTGCGCCCTATCATGCGAATGTATGGAGCTGGCTTTGTGCCTCCCCTCTCGTGCGCATGCCTGTGATCTTCATCCAAAAGAGCTCTTTCGTAATTTCTTCCAATGCGAGAAAGGCATCACTTGAGGCTTGGCACCCGATGGATCTCGAGCAGCCCCACCCCGTTGTGTTCCTCATTTCAACTTCTGCATTAATGACTCTGCAATAATTTGATAGAATTCTTGTAGCGCAAGGCGAAATATGAAAACAGGACATGATAGACGGAGAGGATAGAGCGCTATCACGTCCTATTTTCGTATTTCGCCTCGCGCTACCAAAAATTCTTTCAAATGCATCACCAACTAGCCCACATTGCTACTTTCGACAACCATATTTATGACCGATAAAGGGAAGCCCGCTGCTGACAGTTGGCTGATCTGGTCATAAAAACTAGAGTGCATGTAGTGTGGGCACGACTTTTTCAATGCTGATTCTAGGCAATGTGAAGCGATTCCTTTTTTAACAATCTTAAAGTGCGCAGAATCATACTGCACATGAGTGAGGTAATACCGACAAAAGTGGTTACTGTGCACAGAATCATACTGCACACGAGTATGGTAATACAGACAAAAGTGGTTACGATCCAACAGTAGCTTGAGGTCTAAAAACCGTAGACAGGTCTCTGTGGGTACATTGGTAGTGAACCTTAGTCAGCGTCCATATTCTTTAAAAACACTAAGCACAGCATCTCAGTAAGAGCACTCAGCTTCAAAATTGGTTTCATTGGCACACACACTTATCCAAGTAAAACCATCCTCTTAAAAATTCAAAAGGTTATCAGGGGGTGTAGAGGGGCACCTGGTTGTGTAAAACAACTAAGAAACCATCAACATATCTGAAGCTCCTCATAAGCTTTCCCCCCCACTTAAGTTGTTATCCAACATCCTATCCACATCAGCTAAAGAAATATCACACAGAACCAAGATGACACAGGAACTTGCCCTACCTGCAGTGACAAGGAACAGATTCCTTGTCACTGCAGGTAGGGCTCATCATCAAAAGTAACAAGTGACATCAAGATCAAATTGTGAAAGTGCTAAAAAATTTTCCACGGATGCTCTCCTGTTCAGAAAGAAACGTCACCGTTCTCTTCTATGCACTATTGAATCGAGGCCAAAAGCTTATTATGAGGGGGGCACTGAAGAAAACCTTTAACAGTATAATATTTTCAACGAATAAGTGTGAATGTCAGCCCCTTCTGCCACAATGTCTTTCTGAGTGCAGAGCATTTTAAGGGCCCGCGTTGTTGTAGGCTGTCATTGTATGCTGCCGTTGTCATCTTAGGTGGCTTGGTGTCATGCAGGCAAAACCAGGTGTAGCACAGCCATGTAGAGTGAATTTGCTCCAAAGGGAAGTGAGGAGATCATAGCCTTGTAAAGAATGCATGTAGAGGGGTTAATTTCTATTCGCTTCATGTTTGTAACCAGTGGCAGGCGCATTCGATATATTCGAGTTTTTTGTGGTGAGGACCTGGCACGTTGGCTCCACCGAGCTGTCCCAGCCCAAAGCTTTCACGATTACATGACATCTGGTGCCACAGATGCACAAGCTACCTCCAAGCACTAGCGTCAGGGCGCCACCCATCTAAACGGTGGTTGCAACTGAAAAAGTTCTGGTTGTGGTAAGAGGGAATCTGAAATGAACATTTAAGCCATGTTTAGGTGTAGCTCTAGCCTTGACAAGCTGATCAGAATTTTAAGTATCTTCAAGACGGGAATGCAGCTCATCTGGAAAAGTCGTCGCCATTGGATCAGTCTAGGTCGCACGTGTACATTTTAGATTGTCAAATGATGCAAGAACAACCAACCCAGTTAAGGGGACGGACTGGTATTAGGGACCGAAAAGTAACAAAAAATTTCATTTTTTAGAATTCACATATTTTGTTTTTGGAGGTATTTTTGCATCTTTCTGCAAATTTGCACCCAGTAGGAAATGGTCCTTTTTTCTGTGGTCATTTAACTGTCCAGATTCTTGGAGACAAGACTATGTAGAACCTGCAAAAAACGGGAGCATACTTCGAGGCTTCTTTACTATTTGCCAGTACCTGTTTCTGAAGCTCTACTATCAATTTATAAGGCCTTTTAGGAGCATTGCAAAACATGCACGTCGTGATTGGTGTTTTTTTTGATGAAACGGAGTGTTATCAGTTTTTTCTATTTTTCTCAAGAAAGTAAATTTGCGACTGTTCAATTTTGAGGCCTCAATATCTCTGCAGCTAGGGCAGGTATGCCAATAATTCTTTTTGCAATAGAAAGCTGTACATGCATAGATTGCAAGTATGGGAAAAGAATTAAGAGCACAAGCTTTTTTAATAAATTACTCATCAAAATTGTAAAACAACTTCAACTGCTTTTTAAAATTGAAAGTTATTTTTGCTGTAAAATAATGAAGAAATGCCAAAAAAAAAAAAACCTCTTGCATACCTTCAATCTCTAGTCATTAGTCTATGTTGGCATATTTTAAATGCCACTTTTAATTGAGCACTTTTTATTATATGGCGGCCTTAAGCAATAGGGGGTGAACTTAAGTTATCTCAGGAACAAGATGAATTACAGGAAAAGTAATTGCATATTTGAAATCAGGATAAAAAGCTGCACAAGTCTGTGCAGTTTGAGCAAGATCATTGAAGAAATAAACAAAGAAATGTCTAAGATGAGTCTTCCCCTTTAATCGATTCAAGAGGCTCTTTGGTAAGATATGCAAATGCATGGAGTGATAATACATAGTTGCGAACCATTGTGTTAAATCCTCACATACAACAGCTGTACTGGGGAAGTTAATCGAGATAAATGGCACAGGCGATCTCAGCGACACTTTCATCCGACCTACACTTGTGACAATGCTTCAACTGCACGCCATGGATAATGCGGTTACGTACCTCCCAAGTGCGTGGCTCTCTTCGTACGCTCCATTCGAGGCAGTGAAATGCGTACAGCCTGTTAACAGGTTTGGCAAGTTTCTTAGGCGTTGTTTTTCTGTGAATTCCAACAGACTTGAAGATCTCATGAAGCGGGCCACAGCCTGAACAGCCCTATCCGATACATTCTGTCAGGGGTTATTGCAGCTGGATACAATCGGGAAAAAGCATACTCGAAATCATTCTTTTGTTCACTGCCGCTTGAATGAACTGCAGAAACGCATGCTCTGTATCCTCCATGACCCAGTGACATACTTACCTCACACGAGTATAACAAAATCCTTTTGACACGTCTAAGGCTTCTGTAGTTATATTAACTGTGTAAACCCTGCAAAATGCTCCGCATATGACCATGCTATCCACAACAATAACAAGTGTTTCGGTAAACATTCTACGCCCCCATACAAGGCTTATTCATAAAAAATGTAGTGCGGCTCATTACAACGCGAAACACTTTACAGAGCTAATCATTTTTGCTGGGTAAGCCACACCAAAACATAACCAGTGAACTGGCGTTGAAGACAAGTTCTCGGTCACATTTTATAGCTGCAGCGAATTCTTTGCGATGGTCTTTGTAAACAGAACAGTAAAGGGAAAAAAAAGCTTATTCTATCTTTCTTGTGCTTTCCCACACAAATCACCGTGACAGCTTGTCGGTACGCCGGTTTTCATTTCTTGCACAGTGACAAACACAGCAGCAACTGCCATAGGCACTGCACTTTTGCCTATCACGCGAAAGTAAATGCCCAACGACACTGCTACCGCATTTTCGTGATGTATGTCCGATGAAATTTGTTTATAGCCTTCACAGTGCTAAAGAAACTTAAAGAAAGGAGTATAGGTATATACTTTCCAACTACGTATCTAATAGTAGCATCAGGAATCTAAAATTAGGCATAAATATTTCTAGCCTTCATGCATTTTACACCAATCTTTCTATGATGAAATTAAAAACTATAAATTGACCTGATGTTTCGGAACTGATTCGGTTCCTTCTTCGGGGGTGGCTGTTTGGCCAGCTTCAAAACTAATGACTTTTCTTTGTGGTGTCCCTCCTCTCCAGCATCCTTCTTCCTGCCGTTCTTGTTGCTATGCTGTTTTCTCTACTGGTTTCGTGCACGTATACACTCAATAAGGCTCCAGTTGAGCAGTTAATGTTTCCAGGTTTTGTTTAAACATTCCAGGGCTCTAAGAACTGCCTTTTTGTGTGGCTATTTTTCGTGTCAATGACCAAGGTGTAGTTGAAATTTATGCGATAGTCTATTTCTTAGTTGTGTTCTGTGAGAGCGATTCATGCAGTGTTGAAGCTACGCACATTGTTTTGAGTTTGCCTTATCCTTTCCTGGAAGTTTGTGGCCTGGCAATCGGTTTACGGAACCTCATAGACTAATCTGGGTAATCTCTCCGACGGTGTTTTGGTCAGGGATTCAATGGGAGCTAAACAAGCTATTGGATGACATTTTCAAGAACCACTCAGAATCAAGAATGCTTTACTTGCACCTTGTATGCAGAAACGGTGCTGTGCTGGGATTCTATGGCTGTCCAAAGATCCACAAAGCGGGGATACTGGTATGCCCGATAGAGGACATTAAAGCATCCCTATTTTGCATGCTGTCCGAACATCTACACAGGACTCTAATACCACTAGTGGGGAAGACAGCCACACATGTAAGAAACGCCACCCATCTTGTTCAGCGTATGGTGGAAGTGACAATCGGCATTGACGAGATCCTTCTATCGCTAGAAACTTTTGATTAACAGAGGTTGGAGAGTTTTTTTTTTTTTAAATGGTCATGGGTTCGTTGTAATGGATGTTGATTTTAGACACCTGGCAGATTTTCTCACACAAGCCTTTGCGTGTGGACGTGTCTCTAACGTAACTTTGGAAAAAAAGATTCTCGAATAGAAGTGAGCCAGTTCAAAAGGTGTTCAGTGTAACAGGCATAACACGTGGTCACTCTGGTTTTTCAGTGGACTCCTGAGGGCCGCCGCCTCATCACAGGTGCATCAAGTGGAGAGTTCACCCTCTGGAATGGACTCACGTTCAACTTTGAGACCATTCTGCAGGTAAGGCTACCTGTTCATAAGCAGGGACCATTGTCAAGTGCACACAAGCTTGACGCCAAGTTTTCTAGACTAGCTTTCATGATGCCTCCAGGACATAGTGATGACAAGGTAGATCAGTGGGGTGCATCACTCAGTGCACTGTCTTATAGTATTGCAGAGAGTAGTACAACTTGCGTGCCGTTGTGGTGCAGTGGTTACCATGCTCAGCTGTTGACTCGAAGGGGGTGGGTTACATCCAGGCTGTAGCGGTCGTATATCAACAAAAGCGAAATGCTAGACCGAGGCTCGTGGGCTGCGATGTCAGGGCACGTTATTAAAGACTTGATATTTTGAAATTTTTAGAGCCTTCCACTACAGTTTCTCTCATAATCATATCACAGTTGAAAGCACAGCTGTGGGAAAATCTGCCTGGTAGTTTCATGAAAGATTAGTGTTGTCGCCCACCCAAAAAGCTGCCATTCACTGGGAAGACACTGCTAAAAAAAAATATGTGTGATGAGCAGTGGTTGTGGCATGCTGTTGTGTCTGGTTCATCATGGCGACGGGGAAGAAAACTGCTAAATTATTTGAATGTTTAATGTTTGGGGAGGCCTGAAGATGCTCAGTGGGCCAAAATTCTCAGTGACCTCCCCACTGCAGTGTGCCTGTTGGCTCTTGAAACTTCACGACTCGGCAAGTTATCATTTGACCTTGTTCAGGCATCAAACATGGCAACAGTGCCTTCCTAGGCTTGAACAAAAAAACAAAATCAATGAGTTGGATGCAACTCATCAAAACTTAAAACTGCTTCATTTTTCTGGTAGCTTTGTGCCATCCTTAGACAAATGGCAGTTTTTCTCTTTCAGTTCGTTTCATTATTTGAGAAAAAATGTAAAAGAATACTGGTTTGCAAGGTTAGGTTCAAGATAAATTGCTAACCATCTTTACTGGTGTCTTTATTAAAAGCCACACTCTTACCCTGCGAGCAGCTTTGTTAAAGTTGAAATAAATGCAATGCCTACTTGTCAGCGTTGCATTTTGCTATCTTCACCTGCCGAGAAGCGCATTAACATGCTTAAGAGTGAAGTGTGGGCCTAGGTTCAGTTCACACATTAGACAAACTTTTTTCCTTTGTTTGCTTTATTTGTCTTTCTTTAGATAAGTAGCACCATGTAGTAGAAGAAAAATAATTATTGTGGTGACTTAGCAGGTGTGGGTGCCGCTGGTAATTACGGGAATCCGAGTCTGACACTCGGTCACAAGGGCTACATTTTGATGAACTTAGGGGAGTGTTAAAAAATTGGAATAAATGCAACAACCTAGTGATCTCCAGGTGACATCATGCTTTTAAACAACATTGGGGACAAATATGGAAAACTGATAAAAGATTTGAACAGAGACAGTGTAAAAGTAGGTCTTAAAGTGCAAAATACCAGCCAGTGCTCAGTAGCCAAGTGAAAAGAAGAGTTTACAAGGAGTAATGTCCAGCACATTTGCTTGCATTGGAGTGTACTTTTGCAAAGGAAATTTTCTGAAAAATAAAGGAACATCCAGAAGACATTCTTAGGTAATGACAAGCAACTAACTCTTAAGCCTGGCAGAAAGTGTACAAACATTGCATTATGCCATTTCTATTAGTTGAAACAAAAAGAGCTTGAGTAGCGGTAAAAAAAGGCTCAATAGAACAAAAGAAAAGAAAATAGGCATACTACAGTTGTACCTAGATATAACGAAATTGACGAACTCCCGGGAAAATTCGTGATAAAGAGGGTTTCAGTATATGCAGGCTCGGTACGAAAATTAAAAAAAAAAAGCACAAATATAAACAAAGGGAGAACTGAAGGCAGAGCTGACCCAAGACAGCTATTTAGCAGTAAAAAACTGCATTATTATTGCGATAGCAATTATATGGACACTCTTGGCGGGTTTTTGCCGTCGACGCCTTGTCCTGTAACAAGTGCAAATTGATAATATGCCCCTATGCACCGTAACTTTTACGAGAAAGCAAAAGCGTGCGCGAGCGCTGCTGAAGCAGGGATCAAATGAGCCAGCCCTTCTCTATCGCCTGGAGGGCGCTTACTGTAACATCCCCCACGTGTTAGAGCTGCTGTCAAATACTCAAACAGAAAGGGAACCACCCTTCTTGAATGAGCATAAAAAATGCAAGAGGGAGGGGGGTGGGGTCACTTGAGTAGCACTGGTGAACTTTGATTACAAGGGCGCGGTCGTGATCACTGGCACGTGCGCCATCTCGGCAAGCATCAGTGCACTTTCAATGGGAAGAGACTGTGTGAAAAGAGCGCTTCTCCCTGGATCGGCCGTATATGCTTACACAATCGTTTCATAGGAGTTCAGGACATTGCATCCTAAAGAGTTGGCTGTGCCAGCTTTACTTCGTATAACATTGCAATCTGTTGCTATCGCGAAGATCCTTTGGTTTTCAGCGTGGCCCCTAGAGTTTCTGTCAGCACCTAATGTGATGACCCAGCTGTTCGCGTTAAAAAAATAAACAAACACAAAGCTGTAAGTCGTTGGGGGTCACAGCATGCGTGCACAGTGAAACCATGCACACGCGCACAGCGTCGAAAATGAAGAGCAAACGACACAAATATTGCAGAAAAGTATTAGGTAAAACGTCCTCCATTTGCTGCGCGGCCCCACATGTGATGCTAACTAAAAGCATGGCACTGGCAACACTAAAGTAGTTTTCTTTTTGTGTGTGTATGTGTGTGTGTGTGTTTGATTTGGTGAGAGGGAAGGGCACATCCACGCATGCGCCCCTGGCGTCAAGAACGATGGCAACGCCGGCTCGTCGGGCTTGGGCCCCCTGGCCCCCCTCGTGCAAACCCGCGCACAATATTGAACGCTCGCTCTCGCATGGAAGTTGCCGGGCCATGAGCGCCTTGTGGCTCCAGCAACTCCCACACAGCGACGAAGCACGGCGGTTGCCCCGTCGCGCTTCGGCAGTGGCGGGGACAACCGCCGTGCTTCGCGCAAGCACTTGCGGTTAATTTGAACATACCGCGCTCCGAAAATGCTCTCAGCATCCCACCCAATCCCGTGGCTGCACCTGCGACACCTCAAAACTGCGTGCGAAGGAAATGAAAAGGAAAAAAAAAAGGCTGCGGTGCAATGTTTTCTCTCTCTCATATGCCAATCTGCGACGCGCCCGGGTCACGCTTCTCCCTTTTCCGTCCCTGCCCCGTATAGACCCTTCTTCCAACGCCGCGCACGAAGAGAGAGAGGGAAAAATAAAATAAAGTTGTCGCTGGGTTGAATGAATCTTTGGTTGAAGGAAATAAAAAAGGCACTATCTTTGGCAGCCCTTGCGGGACACGGCTCTGCGCCTTGAGGGAGGGGGGAGGGGGGTGTCTTACGCGCCGGTGCCACGCTTCCTCCTTTTCCGTCCCTGCCACGTAACCCTTCTCCTTTCAACGACGCGTGCGAAGAGAGCAAAAAAAAGAAGAAAAAAAAAAGAAAAGCTGCCGTGGAGGGTTGGTTTTCTCTCAAATGCCGATCTGCTTCTCTCCGCGGGGAGACGCTCCTCCTTTCTCATCACGTGCTGGCCATGCTGTGGCTGCGTAGCGGAGAGGCTCCCCTGTGCATTCGTTGTTGGCGTCGTCTTTAGAAAGTGTCGGCGCTGGACATTTCCGCGTGCAACTTTTCTTGCCAGGAGAATGCTGAAGCCGAAGTAGAAATGCTTTGCAAGCTGGTGCGAAATTGATTGACTCGCTGCAAGGCAAACATGTGCCAACGTGCATCACCGATTACTTCAATTATTAACGAATGTCCTGTGATTTGCGAATAAATGTAAGTCTTCTGAAACTTTCCCCTCCTGTGTTGACTCAATGCACATGCGTCACTGCATGGAGAGCCCTCCGTTTTTTTAGCTTTCATTAATTTGAACCTCTTTTAACTCGAGCAAGTTTTTGGGCCTCTTCGAGTTCGAATTATCGTGATTTGACTGTACTTATTTATTGAATACTGCAGGCCAAGAACTGGTCCAAGCCGGACAGGTACAAGAGGCAGGATGTAAACACAAAAACACATGTGGTAACGTAAGAATATATCATGAGAAATGGAATTGAAAACTCGTACTAACGGAACGTATAAACCAGCTTTACGTCTGGTAATGCCAAAGTTAAATCGTAAATACTCTAACACAGCGTATAATTGATGCTAGCATCAATATTTCAGAATGATATTGTATCTGTTTGAAATGTCCGCTAAAATACCATAAGAAACTAGCGTCCGCAGACATGAGACTACGTGATCTCAAGCATTGGTGACACTTAACGTGCTATTTTCAAACAGGGGGACTGCGAATGGTGAAGAATTATATGATGTGGGTGCTTCGAGTGTGCGGCCCTTCACGAAAAAAAAAATATTCATGCCTTAAGCAGCCAAAACCACCTCACAAGCGCACCTACAACAGATCGAGAGGGATGAAAAACAATTATCCTCACTGGGTGCCAGTCAGGGTACAGTCGACGTCCGGTTTTTTGGACCCTCAAGGGACCATGAAAATGTCTGCAAAATAGGGCAGTCCGGAAAAACCAATGCACGCGAAAACACACCTTTTTTACAAGTATTTTTCGCAGACAGAGAGGGTTGTGGCAGGAGTAAAAGATTCTCGTTGCTATCCAGTGAATGCAGCGTTTAGGTATCTCGAAAAGAGCTGTTTAATAATAATATAAAAAATAATTCATTATCCTCGGCGCAAGCTTATTGGTCACCACTTTGGCCCCAAAAGTTGCTTATCTTCTTTTGCATGACGCTCCGCTTGCCTGCAATGATGTCTGACTTTTCAGCTAAGGTCATGCTGTTGCTTTACACCGATGACAGTGTCATTCATCATTGCTCGCATCCACTCCGAGCTCGTTGGCCGTGAAGGCATTGCCTCTTCGATCTCGGTGTCAGAGTTGTTGGAATCCTCCGTAACTTGACGAATGCTTTCGTCATCAGTCGATTCCGCTCCAGCTTGATGTCTTTGTCAGGGTCGACGAAGCACTCAGAAGTTA